TAATATTGTTCTGAATCGAGTTTGCCGTGAACTTTAGTAAATCATAATAGAGATTATAAGGATGCGCGCGCGCGCATTTGTGCAGCAGATCATTTCCATTGTTTACGAAACAAATGATAAATTACATTTCTAACGTCAAACTTATCTCTCTCTCTTTTTTTTGTTTTCAAATTTATCAAAAATAATGTACAGCTAATCAAGGCTGCCTTTTGATCGTTCTATGATGATATCTACGCATAAACAAAACAAACGATTTTTGTTAATTGTTGTTTGAATCTAAACGAAACAAAGCACGACGACGAAAGAAACGTCAAAAAAAAAACAATTGAAAACGCAAGTGGAAAATTCGGGTTAGACGGCCTCGAGCGCAATTATTTTGGGCGCCGCGACGCCCGCGATTATTTCGAGTCTACGTGACGTTTCCGTCGTGCCTCGGATCGTCGCGTTCGGGAGCGTAGTACCACGAAATAGAAGAGAAATGTAAAAAAAAAGAACAAACAACAAACAAACAAACGACAAGCGTGATGAGGTGATGGTGAGCGGGCGTGGAGGGGGGTTGGCGTTGTTGGTACTGGTTGTCAACGATACTTGTTTTCGGTATCGTCGTTGCGGGGTTACCGGGGAGCAGTCGTTGTGGTGGGCGGTGGGAGGTGTGGGAGTGGGGGGGGATTGCTTATATAACGAGCGCGAGGAGAGGTCGCGGCCCGAATCAAACTCATCCAACAAACACACAAGCGCTTCCGTTCATACAAGCACAATCACATCGAGAAGAGTGTTTGCTTACTCACTTGCCAGCCAGTGATCCTTTCCGAACAGAACAGAAAAAGACTGACTTTTTGTTTGATTCGTTACTTTTTCTTTCTACTATTCCTCCTCCTCTGTTAACACTCTGTTAAGACTTAACCAATGTGTTCGAAGAAACCCGAAGACTGCTAGACCGTGTCAGTATTACTCATTAATTTCGACTAGGGATTATCGTTAACCGAGTTGCCAAGTTACCATCACCACAACAACAACAACAACAAACAAACAAATAACAATAACAAAATGTCAGCATCACCAATGGCGAGGCAGGTCACGGAGAACAAGTCCATCCCGAGGCGGGTCATCATAACCGATCCCAGGGACCTTCCGGCCGACTACTCCTCCACCCCCGGAGGCACCCTCTACTCCACAACACCAGGAGGTAAACATAACAAAACAAAAATCTTAAAAAAAAACAAACAAACAGTAAACACGTTGCTTCTTTTTTGTTCTTTTGAATATACGCGCGTATGGTTGCCTATTAAATTCCATTCGGATTGGAGGAAAAGAAACGAAAACATTTGTTTACGTATATACCAAAATTCGAAGCGAACACGTGTTCGCGCGTTAATTGAATTTCCGGATTGCGTCAGCCAGTTCGAATTTAGCTAAGTGGATGAGATGTTTTGCGTTTCGTTCGGCGACGAAGGTCGTTAGCCTAGGAATTCATAATAATAATAAAGCTGCTGCTGCTGCTGGGTAGAATGCAAATGCGAATAAATATAAAACGCGCAAAGCGTGCGGAGCATACGTGTATATATATATATATAAACATAATGAAAATAGAGAGAGAAATGTATAGGATTGAGGCACGAGAGCAAAGAAAACGGAATCCGGTTGGCCTTTTGCGAATAGGCAAGAAAAAGAAGGTGAAACAATTGAGAGATAGCGCCGCGTCTAAATTTAGTAGGCGCGTTCAATTGTGCGCCTTATTTTGTCTGTTTTTGCTGCTGTTGCTAGGGCGACATAAGTAATTAATTAACCCAATTACTTAACTTGATTGATCAAACTATTAAAGAAGAAGTTATGTAGTCGATAGGTAAACCAGAAACGAAAATTAAAGAAAAACAAACATTTCACATCACGCCCGCGTGTTTTTTTAGATGTCCTTTACGAAGGTAGATAGAATACTTGATAACCGGATTTCTGTTTACTTTCTAGTTTTTTTTTTTCTTATATAACGTAACTTAACACACAAATATATAATTTTTTTTTCACATATTTTCATTCGTAAACATACTACAAAGTGCCATCGAGATTGTTCGTTTTAAATACGTTTATCGCCGGGTATTTGGGTCAAGAGATTTCGAGTTTATCACGTATTCCGTCGGGGCACAAAACGCATTTGTTTGTTTGTTTACCCTTTTCTTTTTCAAATTTCGTAAATATCTCGAGAGAGAGAGAAAAAAATCGAAACGAAGGTCGGTCCTCGAAATGTGATTTTTCTACATCTAGTCACCTCAGCATATTAAATTAATGCAAATTAACACGACGATCGTTTTTTGTTGTTGTTGTTGTTTCAGTTAGGCTCCGCCTCCTCGACAACGCGTTTGTTGTTAGGCGTGGGCGGAGCTACTGGATAAACATTTCCCGGTCTCCGTGACAACGCGAAATTCAATTAACGTGTTTACATAACGAATCATAAACGTTCGAGTGCGATAACGTACTTATCATTTTCGTTTTTCAATTCATTTTTTTTGTTGTGTTGCCATTAGGAATTCATAATAAATTGGGGACGCAGTTTGTTTTTAAAATAATTAGGAGTTGGGCAATTTTTTTTACAAACGAATTAATTCGTAATGCGAATGAAGCAAAACAGTTTTGTAACGCCAAAACAATTGAGTCCGAATTTGCAATAATTCGTTATGGCAACAGAAGTATAACCATGGCAACTGTTAACAGTTGTAAATTGATTGAAATTTTAATAATTGTTGTTATCATGGTTACAATGGATGGTGCACATTCTTTGGCGTGATTTCAATCTGTTTCTGCGTTATTTTGATTACGTTTTTATAGGTTGAATTTGTAAGGAGACAAAAATGTGGACCGGGGGACAAAGAGCAAATGTAAATATAATATTGAATAAAACGTGTGCGGTGGAAACGGCAGCAAAACAAGTCGAAAAGAAACCGCGATAGTTATAAAAGACCGTCCGTCTCCGTCGGGCCACGTGGGCTTCTGAATATAATCTAATGGCCTTGGATGTGTGTGTGTGTGGGGGAGGTGGGAGGGGGGGTTTCTCCACAGGCCGGCCGGCTCCGACTCGACTACTGCGCATTTTCTATATATTTTATTACTCACAAACATACACACACATTCGACGAAGCCAAGTCATACGATTATTATTATTATAATATATAAAACCATTACGATTATTTTGAGCGCAAATGTAGGTCAATAGAAGATGATGAACAATTACCGTGGCAACCGCAAATTTGAAAATCAATTGCACCTTTGGAAACAAAAGCAATTCGCGCCTACTATATTAGATTACTGATGCGAGACGTTGCATATTTGTATTTCAGGTTCGAAGATCGTGTACGAAAAGTCTTTCCTGATAAACCTGAGGAATTCTCCGATCTCGAAGACGCCACCCAAATGGGACATCCCCGAGGACCTGATGCGCGGCAGCGGTAACGACAAGAAGGCGAAATCTCCGTCGGCGTTGAAACAGTCGGCAAGGAACAACAACAGTGGTCACCAACAGAAGACGCGCACTTTGAGCGTATCCGACGATCAGGACCAATTCCAAATGGACATGTGAGGCGCGATATGCGATGCCGAACGAATGCAGTTATTATTATTATCAATCACAATAATAACAGTAACAAGAAGAAAAGAACTTTAACAATTAATTGTTTACCAAAAAAAAAAATTTATAATAATCAAAAAGTGTATGAAAGTTTTGTGCTGCTGAGCAGGAGATGATGATGATGAGTGTGTGTGATGCGATTCCGTTTTTGCCGAATCGCACCGAAAGTGAATTTATATAATTGTTGTTCGTTTATATTTTACAAGAAGAGACTTTTAACTTCGCCTATTCTGTATAACCACGTCTACTCTTTCTTTTTCTTTTTTTTTTGTTTTCTTCCCCTCCCACTTCAAACGTATTTTTTTTTGTACATATATATATTATTTAAACAATTATAAAATAAAGAATCTGAAGAAAGGACAAGGACGGGTGAATTTTATTTAGCGTTCGTTCTTTGTTCCGCATGCGAGAGTTCACAAATTAATTAGTACTCCTCCCTGGAGGCCATGTAGCTGAGCAGATCTGCGACGCGGACGGCGTAAGCGTACTCGTTGTCGTACCAGGCAACCAGTTTGACGAAACACCTGCTCAGTGGAATGCCGGCCTTGGCGTCAAAAACGCAGGACCTGGTGTCGCCGATGAAGTCGGACGAGACCACGTCCTCCTCCGTGTAGCCGAGGATGCCCTTCATGTATCCGTCGGCGGCCTGTCGAATCTTGCACTTGATCATCTCGTACGGCGCCTCCTTGCCCAGCTTGACGGTGAGATCGAGGACGGAGACGTTCGGCACCGGAACGCGAAAAGCCATTCCGGTCAGCTTGCCGTTCAGATCTGGGATGATCTTGCCTATGGACTTGGCCGCCCCCGTCGACGTGGGCACGATGTTTTGCAGGGAACCGCGTCCCGTCCGCCAGTTCTTACTCGGCCCGTCGACCGTCTTCTGGGAGGCGGTGACCGCGTGCACCGTCGTCATCAAACCTTCGACTATCTCGAAGTTATCGTGGATGACCTTGACGAGAGGAGCCAGACAGTTGGTGGTGCACGACGACATCGAGATGATCTGCATGTCCGTCTTGAAGCAGTCGTGATTCACGCCCATGATAAGTACTGGCGCATCGTTGGAGGGCGCCGTGACCACCACCCTCTTGGCGCCGGCATCCAGATGCAACTGAAATTCGCAAATTTTTTGTTAGATCGATCTCCGTCGCGCTGATAATATTTTATCGTTTTACTCACGGCTGCCTTATCGCAATTCGTGAAGACGCCCGTCGCCTCGACGACGTAATCAGCGCACACCTTCTTCCATTCGATCTCCTTGGGGTCGCGATGCTGCCAAGTCTCGACTCGTTGCCCTACGACGTACACGAGAGATTAATGTAAATGTCCAATGCCACAGCACGCACGAGCACTCACCGTCAATGAAGAGACACGTGCCGAGTGTGGTGACTTCGCCGGGGTAGATGCCGTACGTGGAGTCGTACTTGAAAAGGTAGGCCATCTGCTCGGGTGAGATGAATGGGTCGTTGACGGCCACCACCTGCGAGGCAGGAGTTGTAACACAGGTTTTCTACCAGAAAGCGGAGAGCACATCATATACAGGGTAGGGTATAAACATAAAGTACAAAAAAAAAACAAGAACAAATGGATGGATGGATGGATTCAGACTCACCTTCATGTTGCGCTGTATGCATGACTTGAGGACGAGCCGGCCGATTCGTCCGAACCCGTTGATCCCGATTTTGACCATCTCCTTCTAAAAAGTCAATCAAAAATTTCACACTGCGCCCACAAAAAAAACATTCTGACAAATCACGGACAGCGCGTTTTTTTTTTCAATCAGAGACGCCGAACGAACAAACAAACAAACGGGCGTTACGCGGCGTGCGTCAGCATCACTCTCTATTTCATTCAACCCTTTATTTTTTTCGAAAACATCGTTTCGGATTCGCGGATGAGGAAGAGTTAGGACATGGCCATCGACTCGAAACGGATACCGGTGCCAGTCAAGTTCCTGTGCGCCTCTCTTTCTGGGTAACCATAGTACATAGTTACTTATCGTCTGTAATGTGCAGCGTTTAACAGAGTCGCCGGGACCATGGTTTGTTATCCGCTGGACCTGCTGAAGTTAAACATGCAGGTGGCAGGCGAGGGAGGCGCGAAACGCGAACACGTGACCACTTGGCAGTTCGCCAGCAGCATCGTCAAAAGGGACGGCATCACCGGCCTCTACACCGGGTTAACGGCGAGCATGCTGCGGCAGTCCCTCTACACCGGCGTCCGTCTGGGCATCTTCCAGACGATCGTCGATCATTACACAGAGTACGCGCAAAAATCTCTCTTCAACGCTTCGACGCAATTAACATTTAATCATGTTCGAAAGGAACGGACAGCCGCCTGGTGTGCTGATCAAGGGTCTGGCCGGAATGGTCGCGGGGGCGGCCGGTGGCGTTGCCGGTTTGCCCCCGGACGTAGCTCTAACGCGAATGGCCGTGGACAAGCGATTGCCTATGGAGAAGAGGCGCAACTACAAGAACGTGATAGACGCGATGCTGCGGATCAAAAGGGAGGAAGGTTCGCACGCATTGGCCAGAGGCCTGAATCCCGTCATCGTGCGAGCGATGGTCGTGAACGTCGCGCAATTCGTCAGCTACATCCAAGCCAAAGAGTTCCTCATCAATCGAAGTTACTACTATCAAATGTTTGCAACTCAATACTCACCGCAACAACAATCTTTGCAGATATAACTGGTGACGACAGCATCTGCCATCTACTTTGCAGCGTGATCTCGTCGTTGGTGGCCACCATCTGCGCCCTACCACCGGACATGGCGAAAACCAGGTGCAAACTCTGAAAGTCGAAAACGAAAACCAATAAACACTTTGAACATCAGGCTACTTTCAGGATACAGAATATGAAGATCGTGGACGGCAAACCTGAGTATCACAATATGTTCGACGTTTGGATGAAGGTGGTCCATCACGAGGGTGTTTTTGCCCTCTGGAAAGGCTTCACGCCGCTCCTCTTCCGCAACGGGCCGCAATTCGTCGTCGTCTTCATAGTGTACGAGCATCTCATGGGCTTCTTCAGGAACATCTACAAATAAACAATCGCGACGTTTCAATAAATAACAAAGCATGTTTACCGTTTCCAAGGTGATCAAAGAATTAAAACAATTGTTTGTGAGTAGAGTTCAAAATTGTTCAATATTTTATTAATTGACTGGAATGGAATGGAAATTTAGCTAAAACACACAATAGTTTTACACTCTTTTCGTGAAACGAATTATATATAATAAACTGCAAATTCAAATTCGGTGATCGCAATTGTCAAATGTCAATGGTGATGAGAGTGTTGCCTACGACCAAGAATATTTAGATATTATGCAATTTTTTGTTTTCTTTCCATCGCTAGAGAATTTCCTTTTGGTGCATTGCGTTGCACCTAAAAATAGTTGATATCATCCCGTGCGAGTTGCGCGGCATGTGCACGCATCCGAATGTCACGTGTATTATTTATAAACGGGGCCCAATGTGAACCGGGCTTGACACAATTTCCGTCCTTGTTCCGCGCGCCAACGCAGACGTGCGTCGCGCCTACTCGGATCCAATGTTTTGATCCGAATTGGATTGTGCATGTGTGTGTATGTACATCAATCAAAGATTAATACACACACTATGTTGCCTTGAAAACTATCCGCTGCACATACATACATACACACACAACACAACAGAGGCAGACACACGCGTCTTGTAAACAAAGTTTTGTTTTTCCTGTGTGCCGTCCGCCGGCCGAAAACCAAACCGATCAATCGCGTGGAAATTCCCACCACGGAAAAGGCGAGAGCATGAGCTGCGACGACTTGGAGGTTGAGGTAAGCAAACAAAGAGAGAAATTATAGTCTACAGTGTGTAAACCAACCATCATTATCAGCATCTCATGATATTATTTGCATTTGATTTTTTTTTTTTGTAGATGGCCGTGACTCCGAAGCTGAACGAATTGGACAGTGCCCTGCAGGAGCTGGGGATGCTCTCGAGTTGCAGCAACTCGAGGCAGGAGTATCTGAGGGAGATACAGAACAGACCCATCCTGAGCATAAACACGAGATACGTGAGCAACGTGTCCATAGGGTTCCGGGTGCGACCGGTGACACCGCGCATCCGTTTCAAACCCTACAACTTCACCAAGAGGGAGGAGAGACACCGGACGCGCTCAGAGAACAACGACAACTCCTCCGAGTCTGTCAGTATTGTGAAGACTGTGCTGGACGACACCATGAACATCACGTTCGAGGAGATCTCCCAGCTGAAGAAGGCCAAATCCCTGGAGAGCATTGTCCTCGAATCTGGTGGAGAGTTCAAGACGCCAGAGGTTGAGATTGTCTCCGACTGCATAGAGAAGCTCAAAGTGAACGAATGAATGAATAACCTTCATCATCGACAACCTCTATTCTCCACCCAACAACAAATTCTAATCAAAACACTTGTAGGATCTCGCAAAGCATATATATATATATAACTTATGCTATTTACATACATACATACAAAAACACACACATATATATATATATACTTTAAACAATGGAAGGGAAAAGAACATTTTCGTTTGTTTTTTTTTTGTGATATTTTTAGGATTTCACCACCATTCTTTCCGTTTGGTAAAGATGAGGAGGAGGATGGTGGGAAAATGAAGACTAGTGCAACCAAGTTTAATTGTAACAGAAGAAACAACAACATAAGAAAATCCTATTTATTTAAATATTTATTTTTTAATTCGTTAATTATTATTGGTTATTTGATTATTATTATTAATTTTTTTTTGTTTGTTTCGTTTGTTTGTTTTTACTTAATGCAACGTTCTTTGATCAATGTTTATTAGCCAAATTTGAAAACGAGAAAATTTGTATAAAAAAAAAACAACTAATATTAATTGTATTATGTGACTAATACAAATTTTTGGTATATATTAATGAATTTTAATAAATTAATTAAAAAAAAAACCTATACGCTATTTTGTGTATCATTGATGGAGTTTTGTAGGAAAAAGGGAAATTAATTCGGTAAATGCAGAGCGAGATGATGATCATCCGTTTAAGGTAAGAAAATATGTTTGTATTAATTGTGTGAATGGTTTCAGTCAGTTTCAAAAATGCATTGCTTGCGATGAGCGAGATACAGTTTGTGGTTTTTGAAGCGCGCCTGGCATACGGCGCACGGATAATCCGTGTGCTTTTTGAGATGGAGAAGGTAGTTGGCTTTCCATTTGAACACTTTGTCGCAGAAGTCGCACGGAAAGCTGATGTCGGTGTGAGCCTTCTTGTGGTCGTTCAATTGACTCTTGGTTTTGTACCCTTTGCCGCAGTCGTCGCACATGAAGCTCCTATCATCAGAATGGGTTACCCTGTGACCTACCAAGTTCCTCTTGTCCGTAAAGGTTCGGCCGCAGCCGACGACCTCGCACTTGAATGGCCTGTCGTTCGTGTGTATCCTCATGTGCCGTTCCAATTTGCTGGGCGCAGCGAAAGTCTTCAGGCAGCTTTTGCACTGAAAAGAATCGGTGTGGACTTTCTTGTGCGCAGTCAAATTGCATCTCAGTGGAAACGCCTTATTGCAAATCTCGCAGCGAAACGGCTTGATGTTTGTGTGCGAAGACATGTGCGCCTTCAAACTCAGCTTCCTCATGAAACCCTTATCGCACTTTGAACAAACAAACGGTTTCGCCTTCCCCTCCCAATTATTCTTCTTCTTCTGCGAGTACAACTGAAACTCTTCCAAATTAATCTCATCATTCTTGTAAAACTCACTGGAATGCCTCAACACTGTGTTCGGATTATTATAATTCTCCAGATCATAAATGTTCTTCTCGACCACCACCACCTCCTTGCCCATCTCATCAGTCTTCATGATCACCCCATCATCTGGTGGGAACAGCTTCACCTGCATCTCAGTCTGCCACTGTTCCTCCTGCACCGTCTCCGACTTGGTTGTCTCGTAAAGTATAGTCTCGAATCGATTATTGGATTCGATGCATAGGTCGAGGAAGTCGCTGAAACTGTTGAGTTTCGACAAACATTCATCGCAAATCTCCTTGGGCTTGAAATCGTCGATGTATAACTGCAACGTAAATGTAACCTAAACTCTTAGTATCAACAAACAGAAATGTAACAAAATAAACTCACGCCGATCGAAAAGCACTTCCTGAACTTGATCTCCACGTCTTTACTCGCACTGCTGAAGATGGGGTAAGTCACCGGGGCTACGGAACCGCAAATCCTGCACAATCTAGGTGTCCAAAACATTTTCTTTCGCGGACCGCAACCCCCTCACCAAACTCAATTGCAAATGGAAAACGGCACGATCCCAGGCTGCAGTAGAAAGCGGCAACGCAATAAACATTCTCAAATGTACCTACAACAGAAATAAGCAATTATAAAAATGCACAAGGAAAATAATCCAAAATTAAACACAGTTTATAAAAAAAAATAAATAAACAAAAATATTTATGCAACTCTATATGCACGAAATACAAAAATTAAACTAAAATACTATTAATAATGAGGGCAGAGAGCCAATGGAAGCAGTTGAATTATAATATTTTAACAAATCAAAACTAATTTTCATCCAATAGATTAATCAACATATGAGACGTTATTTTTGAAAATGGTATAAGTTCACTTTTGGTAAAAATGAATTAATGGTAATATTAGTAAGATATCGATATCCTCTTTTTATATTTATAATTATACATTGAATGGAGCACGATTTTTTGATGATCTAATCTATATAATGTTATAGCAAAAATATTACTATAACCTTATAAATAACATCGTAAACAAGATTAAATCAAAGGCAATAGTGGAATACCACTTTCAAAAATAACGATTCATATGTTTAAACTATTAGATAAAAACGAGATCCATTGCATTTTCTGTATAAAACAGGTGCTACCTCGAGAAGGTAAATTCGTGTTCAAAGTTTCAAAATGCTCGAAAAAGCAGTGTATTCACATTTCATTGGTTTTCTCGAAAACTATAATACATAGAATGA